TGTAAGTCTGTCTGCTGCTCGTACACCCATTTAAAATGTGGGAAGAACTCTTGGAGATGCGTGTAGATGCTCGCTATCTTCTCTGAGGGCTCCAGGCCAGAGATGTTGGGGTCGGGGACGTTGTTTACAGGCACCTTGCAGAAGAGCTCTGACATTTCTCCTTGAGAGGCTTTCTGCAAAAAAAGAAATATATAATCAAGCCACACATCTTTAAAGAGGAACATGAACATCTATGTTTTCTAAGAAGGGTGGGGTACAAGCAGATGAGGATTTAAGACACTTTTATGTGTGCACTCACATATGTTTTGATTAGGTCGACAGATTCCTTCTGTAAGAGTCTACTCAGCTTCAAACTCTGCTGCACAGAATTCCCACACTGCTGGTTTCTGCTTGCTGCCACAGTTCTTGATGAATCAAAAGCCATAACCAGCAGGAGAGAGAGTAAAGCTGTGGAGAAAGGAACTGGTCAGTTAAGGTTAACCTACATCCCAGCGGTGAGGGGAACTTTGGTTTAAAGCCACAAGTGAAGGAGGGAGTGATACAAATAAACTGTTATTAAGTCTGCTATATTATCATTTCAGGCATTTTCTAGCAACACAATACTGTTGTTATAGTAAAGCATGTTTAAATGTCAACAATTGTCAGTCTCCTTAAGTATTGTCCAGATTCTCCAGACAGTTTAAAAAGTAACATTTTAAACAGTCTGTGTTTAAAGAAACTGTGAAGCAGTCAAATTGAATCTGAACGTTTGCATTCAGTTTCACAACATCTGTAAGAATATAACCACAATAGTGTACCAAGTGGAAGTATAAAATGCTGTTTCTGTTTAAATTTGAATAACTTAAACTTACTTGTTGCTGTTTCCATAAACCGTTGAAAATGCATACTCTGTACATGGCCATTCATTCTCCTCCCAGTATCACAGGCACATTGCAAGGACTTGTCATGATCACACTCCTTTAAAACTTTTTTTTAAAAGACAGAAAACCACACATTTGTCACAGGAGGAAATGACGTGCACTTTGTGAGGCAACCAAATGTCTCGGAATTTCCTCCTTTTTCTTAGATGTGCATTTTCTTTTCTCCTTTTATCTCACTCTAACAAGTGGACAATGCCCCAACATGCCTGGGCATAGACCCAGCCTGTCTAATTCTTTTTGAGTGACCATGGACAATTTATCATATCTCTACTTTTTTTTATTTGGGCATGTAAAAATGTTCTTAAAAATCAAAGAATTACTTGCTGACAATAAAACCTTATAAGGCATGCATGAAATTAATTTAATGATTGAGGTCAGTCAACCCTTTGACACAGTTCATTGATATACATGTTAACCGCCCTCTAGAGAGTGTGGGTGGGAACTTTATCTTTTACACACCGACTAAGTTTCCCAGTGGTAATGTATACTAATCCACTTCTTAAATTATAAGAGCAAATGTACTTCGAGGAACTTTTTAAGTTCCTTAAATTGAGTGAAAGCAAACACTGTGCCCATTTAAGGGATTTATGAGTTTCTCTTCATGGATTTACTGGCTTAAATATGACTTAATAATAAGTAAATGGAAACACTTGTGCTGACAAAACTACAAGTGCATTTTAAGTTATATTTAAATAATTGGTCTTAAGTTAATTAGGTGTCATACCAACAATCTGTGGTAAAATAGTCTGGGATCAACTTTCCATATTAGCATTTCTTCCTTCTTTTTTTCACATATTTCTGCAGAATTTCATCATTATAGCTGCTAACAAGTGCAATTCAGATCATGTGTATTTTCATGCGTGCGTTTTCAGAGGAAGCTGGCAGTCAGAGGAAGTGCATTTCTCAATCAGAAACTTTTACAAGTGCGTAAAGGGGAGGTTCTGCTTAGCTCAAGTAGGTAATATGTCAGACTCATAACTCCGCAAGCTTCTGCTCATGTTATCAGAGTATGTGACTGGGAGGAAAATATGAAAATATAGCGTGTTTTCACGTCTTGTCTAATCTTATTTTCGTCACTTCACTTCCTGTTTGGAGACACTCGATTATGTGTTAAACCAGCCGCGTGCATCACAGGGTTAATGAGAGGTCAGACTACGAAACAGATCACTGAGAGCTGATTTGCATCTACATCTTTTTTTCCAAGTATCCACACTAGGTGCTGCATTGCCGTCAAACCACTGACTACTAGAGAAAAGACAGGGGAACTCGACGAACCACAACACCGTCAGCACTACTGCAGGTAAAGGCTAACCACTCTGCTGCCATCCTCGGGGCTTTCCACTTGCCCCGGGGGATAAAAGAGGGGTTTGTGGTGTGGCGGGCAAGGGCTGCAGAGAATTCAAGAAAAATACAGTTGAATTCCTGCCAGCATATACAGTACAGCCATGCCCAAAAAGCCCCAGATCGACACCCTAAATCAAGCATGTTTACCCTGAAACGTAAGGAAGCTTAGAAGAAACTGGACGCTCCTGAAGTGTAACTTCCCTCTCACCTCCTGTTCAAGGTTCTTGTTTTCATAATTTATCTTTGACCTGCATGTGTGTTTGTAGTTTCACATCTTATTAAAATATACAGCATTTGATATGAAGTAGGTCACAGCATTCACATCACACCAAAGAAAAGCAAAAGTAAGAAGTCCTAGACCACATAAGTAAGCACTTCAAGGAAATGAAACCACAAACAATAAGAAAGGCATTGTTATAAGATGCAGGATGTCGATTGAGACTCCTTTGTTTCAACAGAATCTCTTTTATTTTGTCTTTGAACTGCACAGGAAATGGTGAATACGGTTGTTTAGGAAAGTCCCCTTTATTCTAACTAAATACATCTCTCTAGTAACTCATAATTCACACAAATTGTAAGGTTCATAACCGTTCTGAAGCTCTCAGGCAAACCTTATTCAAGCACCCCAATAGCACTTTTTGTTATGGAACCATTTGTCCGCAAGGCTCCAGTTATGTGACCAGACAAAAGGCCTTACTGCATATGAGAAACCTTTTCATCAAATTTCAGAAAGTTTGTGAAAATGTAAAAGGCTGAAAAATCTAGGAGCCATTCAACTTCAGAACACACTCTGGTCAAACATAACAAATTCAGATTTTTAGGTTTCAACGTGTAAAACAAGAGCATTTACGTCATATTGCCATCAGAAATTGACTGTCATTATGTTCCTCTTTTTAAAATACTTTGTTACTTCAGGGGACATCTTCCACCTTTCAGCCCTGTGAGGAACATGACCGAACATTAATACATGTTGTGGCTCTGAAATGAAAAGAGAAAATAACAGGTAAAGAAATACCTGCCAAACATAACAGGGTTGCATTCAAGACCACCACATTAAACAATGTTTCAAAAACTGACCCGTGATAAAATAGTATTTATTTTCTCATACATATACTTCATTTTTAGAGGGTTTCACTGCATGGGGTACTCTTAATATGTCATGAGTGTTTGAAAAACTTAGTAGTGTTTTGACTCAGAGGGGTTTTCAAAATGCTTTACATTTTGTAAAAATCAATCGTCTCTCCAAGACAAAAAACTACAAGGCTAAAGGTGGTATTAGAAATTAAGCACCAAACAATTATCTTTCCATTCAGTACAAATGGAAACATTGTGCAACCTGTTCAATGACCATAGTGAACATGGCAAAAAATATGTAAATCTGATCATTAGACACTATTTACTCAAATGCAATCTGGACCCACATGTTGTGTTTGCTTTTGTAGAACCGTCGCTCCATAAAAGATTGTGGTGCTGATATTATAAGAAGTCTGTGGTTCCATCCACCAGCATTTATACAATCTGAGAGTCTAGTGATTTGACTTAGCAATATATTGAGCTATTGTATGACCATATCTCTATATTATAAAACAAAAACGAAGCAAAAGTCTTTATCGTTAAGCTCTGTTATCAGTAATAGACCAGGGTCTCTGTATGTTCTAGCTATATTCTCATGTACAAATATTCATATCAAAAGTTATACAGCACAATTCTCACCATTTTCCTTTACAAGAACTCTGATTAGTGAACATTAAATGATTCACATATTTAGATGAAACCAAAACAAAATGGTGCCGGCGTCAGTAAATAAAATATAGATATAACAAACACGGAAACTCAAATCTGCTTCAGGCACAACTTAAATAAAGGCATTTGTGAAATTATCATATCAAATATGGCGCTTATGTTCAGTATCCATAGGCTTAAAACAAAAACAAAAAAATGCTTTTATTTACAAACAGCTAAAATCTCTGACAGATTCATGCTTCACTTCACAACCTGAATTTGTCCTTAAAGTGCATGCAATAATAAGCAGTTTTACCAAGTGGGATCTTGTATTGTGATAAGGGTTGATCAAGCTGATGCCAATTGATTCTACATATCAAATCAATAAAAAAAGATAAGAACTGTTGCCTAGTAAAGTGAGAGACCACAGTATACTGTATGCATAAGCACAATATGGAAGTATGAACAAAAACATTTAAAAATGAATAAACTCTGACTTTATCCAGTGACCCCATACAGTAATATTCACATTCAGAGCATAAAATAAAAAAAGAAACTAAATATAATCAAATCAATAAAAAAAGAAAAAGCAGCTTAACACCACGGGGGAGTCCGCAGCTCACATTCCACAATGTCCCTCCACGTAGCACACATTAAGCATCATACGAACATGATGGGTTTCTACTTAAACATATCAAAGTGCCAATTTTACTAAAATTTCCTGAATTATTCAATTCATACCAAAAAAGAAGGAAATGGCATGGAGGAAAGAGTCTGTTATTTTTAACACATACGTTTTTGAGATACATTGACTAGGTTTGCTTTTTATTGACATGTTGTTGTAGATTCTTTTTGTTTTATTTCCCCCTTCAAGTTTCACAAAAGAAGTTCTCATTGCACGTAACACCTCCGTTCAAAGATGCAATATCTAAGAGAGAAGAAAAGCAATAGAGAAAGTTATCCAGCTTTGCCACTGTGGACGTGACAAACGGTCAAGTGGATGCGAAAAGGGCACGGATATGTTGTCCTCTAAAGATAAATCCACTTTCATCTGGAGTCTTCTTTGGGGAAGTCCAGAGATCCCAGGCTTCCAAAGCCGAGACATCTACTTTCTGTGTCAAAAGTGTTGTTTTCTCTGTCCTGACGCTCAAACAAGTGCTTGATCCTTTCAGTGCGCTCCTTCTGAAGCGCGACCAGTTCCTCTTCAATCTGTCATCAAAAAACATGACGAGAGTTATTTCAATATATAATCTCCAACTTGAATCTTGTCTGCCCTGGTAGAGATGGGGCTTTGTCATTGGTTACTCCAAGATTTGTTTACAGTGAAACATCACTAACGTTGGATTGACAGATACATTTTAGTTTTGATATTCCTAAAAGATTAATGAGTTAGTGGTGGCTCTGATAAGTGATGTGTCATTCAGCATGGACATGTAAACTATTGCAACCATTTCAATTGTTTTTCAAGCAAACCCTTTGCCAGCCATTACCTCGTCCAGCTTCACAAATGTGAGGAATTGCTGCTTATCTTTTCAATAGAGTATGTGATAGTACACAAGATTTCTCTTTTGCCCTATTTGTAAAACAAGACTATTTCTTGGGATTTAGGTGGCAGGCATTTTTTTAAAACATTTTCAGAAATTGTTTAAACTGATAAATCAATGACTTAAGAAAATGTGTCACATTTAATATTGATAAAGATAAGTTCTAAGTTGAAGTCCCTTCATCATGACATTTTCTCCAATGAGCCGATATTAAATGTGAGAGTACTGTACTGTACTGTACTGTACTGTACTGGGCCATGCTCCCTTAGTTGATGAACCCTTTTCCTTTGTGTACACTGTAACTGCTTTTCTCTACGATCCCTTTCAAACATCAGCTTTGCACACAAGATATTTCTAAGATAAGATTTATTTTCACCGAACCCTGTGCCTGTCAATTTGAATATGCTGTTGCTAAGCAGGTTCAATGTTTATCATTATAGTTTAGCTTGGTGACATGCTAACATTAGCTCTTAACACAAAGTTCAGATAAGGCAAAGTATTGGACAAACCAAAGTGTGACCTGATGTTGACCCCCTTATACCCTCCTTTATCCTAAGGGAGACTACATGTCATCAAATCCTTCCAATAGTTGATAAAGAGATTTATGTTTTTTAAAGACCAGTGTTGGATGGCTAACATTTGAACAAACATTTGATTTGCAACAATAAGTATATCATATGTATACAGCAAGTCAATGGGCCTCCTAACAATGAGAAAGTGATGCCAATGTCAACAAAACTAACAAGTATTTTGAAAAGAAGCCTTGTTTAGATGACCCCATGGATGTTCCTCAGGCACCACCTCCATGTATCTATGTCCTCTTACATTGTGGAGGCTGCATTAATTTAAAGTATTTAGGGATGGCTCGGATCTTAAACCTACCTTCTGTTCAAGGTGCGCTCTGCGTATGGAGACCTTCTGCTCAAGTTTCTGCTGCTCTCGCTCATGTTGGGTCTCCATCTGTGACTTGGTTTTCCTCTGGTAGGCGTCCAGGAGCTCCATCTCTTGCTTCAGCTGCTGCTTCAGAGCTTGGCACTCCGCTTCCTGCTCCGCGTCTAATCGCATCTAGAGACCCAGCGAGACAGAGGTAGTTACAAAGACATTAACAACAAGCATAGGTTGAGCCTCATTTATCAAACTACAGGCCAAGTTGGGATGAAGATGTAAGAGGTCAATGCAGGTAACGCTGTAATCGTACCGCGTGTGACGCCATCATCTCGTTGATGCTCTGCTCGTACTGCTCAGCCAGGATGGCCAGCTTGCGTGTCTGCTCCTCTTTCAGGCTCTTCAGGATGCTCTTGTGGTCGCCTTTGGGGGAGACTTCCAGCTGATGGTTCCTAAGAGCTTTGTACTGCTTGTTCTGCACCTTGCACGTATCCTGAAACTGTCTCTTGATCTGCATCTCCAGCATCTGCACAGGTAAGAAAGAGGAATTCATGTATGTGTCTTTCTTTTACATACAGACTGTAAAATGCAATCAAAAGTTATCTAATTATGGCACAAAAAAAGCCAGTTCGACTTCAACAAGGATGCAAAATAGATGGTTTACACATCAAAAGTGTCATCATTCTTTACTGTCAAGACCCTTGTATAAAAGCACACTTTTAAACCCCTTGAAATGTACTTCCTGGAAACCAACTCTCTAAATAAGCTCATATTAGCTAAGAGAGAGTTGCAGGCACCTTGAGGTTTCTGGGCTGCTGCCGCTGCTCCAGAGTGTGTTTCCTGTGTAGTTCTCTCTGCCGCCGGCCGTTGTACTCCTCCTGGTTCTCCAGCTCGGTCTGGTGCTGCAGCCTCATGAGTTCAGTGCGTAACTTCTGCAGCATATGCAGCTGCCGCCGCTCCATGTCCTGCGTGGACTCGTCCTGCCGGATCATCAGGGCATGCTCCATGTCCTTCTGGGTCCCCTTCTTGTTCAGCTCCTGGGACAACAAGTGTGGTTTTTAACCTGTATGCAAATTCAGCTTTCCATACATTCTGTAAGCCCGGTTGGTTTATTTAAGGGTATTAAAACAAAAAACAGGAATGATAAATGTAGTTTTGCAGTAAAAAATAAATGTCTGAAATGTCTGAAATTAAAAACCTATTGATTTTTTTGAAAGCTGGTCAGAATAGCAGTTTGAAGAGGTCATTCAAGGTGTATTAGTAATTCATTCATTTATCAAACAAAAATTATTAAATGAACTGTAGCAATATTTCTTAAGTATATTGAAAGTCATTATAAGAAACCTCTTTTTCTTTGGGATCTGGTGTTGATTTGGTGATCACTGGCACTGAATACCTGCACAGTCTCGTTACACATAATGTGATGTAATGTCAGGAGGTAACATTACCTCTCTCAGTTGCTCCTGTTCAAATTCGTGCTTCCTGACCAGACTCCGGCGTTTGAGGGCCCTGCAGCTGCGTTCGTAGACCAGCCTCTGCTGGTCCAGCAGGAGAGACTCCTCCTCAGCCTGAGAGCGCTGTATTGTTTCTTTGTGCCTGGACAGACGCTCATACTTCTCATCCTTGGGTGTACAAGGGTCTTCGCTCATCTCCTATAAATATGGAGACAAAATGTAAAACAGAAAAGTTGTGTAAATGATCTGAAGATAACTCACAGAGAGTGCATTTCATAATGAACAGATGAACAAAATGAGATCATAAACTTTGCGTTGTGTTTGTTTGTGATATTTACTTCTTTGATCTTGTCTTTGCAAAACCTGTACTCTTTCTTCTGATTCTCTAAGAAATTAGCCAGCTCTTTCTTTTGCTGAGCAACTATCTGTTGCTGGATCCTCCTCTCTTCTGCTGCAACAGACTTAATCTGTGAAGAGATAATCAAATGAACACCCTTTATTGACTGTACAGGCACAAGTTTGCCATGAAGTGACATCACTGAGTAGTTTCCACCTCATTCATACACCAGCTGTCAGGGCTGTACCTCTTTGTCTGTTTGAGCAGCGTGTCGTTTGGCCAGTCTTTCCAGCTCAATGTAAGTGTTGTTCGCATGTGTCTCTAATTCTTTCTGCAGCCGGAGCCTATGCTCATCCATCTCGGCCTTTAGCCTATTCTCCAGGGCGATCAGCTGCTTCTGGTGCTGCCGCCGTGTGCGCTTATACCCAGACATCTGCTCCCGCAGCTCAAAGTCCTGCTCATGCTCCTGGATCTACCTGATGACCTAGACAGAGGAACACAGGAAGCAGGAAGTAAAAGAAAACGGAGCAGGCAGAGCGAAACAACTGCCATGGTGGAGACAGAAGGAGGGGGGGGGGGGGGGGGGAGACAGACAGCTGGTAAGTCAAAGGGTTAGGGCCTAAAACAGAACAGTGCAAACAACAAGTCTGCAAACTAAAAAAAGTAATCAGTTTGCAGATTACGTCCACAGCAACCCAAGAACTTAAAAAGGGTTGAATCAGAAGTCTGACAATCCTTTAGGGTTGATGGTATCAATGCCTTTCAGCATCAGATTTAAAAAAAAAAGAGGTGAGCTGCTTTTTGATCCAATTCATACTCTTGATAAGAATCAACTTGTAATACCAGAAAGCAACCTCAATTAATCCATCAGTCACTTAAGCAGCATTGATGTCAATGATGTCATTGTTATGCTGAAGACCAATCTGTAAAATCACTGTTTAAGATATGACACAAGATGTGGAGATGCAACATTTACAATGTGACACAATCTCATTGGTAAGAGACATCATAGAATACATATAAATGCAATGCACTCGCATAAAAGCAGAAGCAGAGAGAGGGGAAGCTGAGGATGGAAAAAATGACATCCATTAACAGGATCTGGTTGCCATGACTACAGATGTACAGCTGAGAACACAGACACCCCCCCTTCCCTCCCCTCCTCACCCCCCGTCGCCTGCACGCACACACGCACACATGCACTAACACACACACGCGTTTTTTTATGCAAACGGAGAGAGGGAGAGAGGGAGGGAGAGAGAGAGCTGCGTACCAAAGATGCTGATTTGATGGTGGCAATGTGTTCACAGATCTTGCAGTCGAGAGACCGGCTCTTGTGAGAAGTAGGCCGCAGCTCTGGCCTGGTGTCCCTGTGCACAGCCTCATCCCTCACGCAAGCATGGTCCTGCAGGGGGGGAGGAAAAGGAGGAGATAGTGGGGCTGGGTGCTTCCCAGGCCCTCCGCACTCGCTGTTTCTGCTAGAGCTGCTATTATTGCCGAATCTCCCTGAATGCAGCACACATCCAGCTTTAAATGCATCCTTCCCCTGCTTGTTCCCCCGCTACTGTCTGCAAGTTCTTCCTACGAGAGAGAAGGGCATAGCCAAACAATTGCAGGCACCACCGAGAAGGCAGCTACTGGATGTAGTCGGTTTTTTTCTGGCGTCCCCCTCTTCTCAGAGAGGAGGAACCAAATGGCTCCGGTGGATAAGGGTGAATTATGCAATGCCTACCATTGATAATCGGAGAAAGATAGCACAGGGATGTATGTTACTGCCACTCTTCTTATCCGTTTCAAAATGCAAGAAATGTTTGGAAGGAAAAATAGTTTTCCTGTGTTCCAATGATCGCATGTGGTGCCATGTCTAAAAATATTTGATTCAGATAAGGCACATCCAAACATGGTTTTCCCTCGAATATGTCGCTTGACGATCCGTTTGTATTCCACTCGAATTTCTGTCCTACATTTACAGCGCACTTGGTCATGGTAGGTGGTTCTGGTGCCTTCTATTCATCTCTTCCCTCTGTCCCTCTGCTACACTCCCCCTTCCTTTAAAGAGACACCGCAATACTACAGGCACCTCTCAACCAGCCTCAAGTTTTTTTCACGTCAGGCTCTAACACCGGATTATTTTTGAGAAATTAAAATGGTTAGAACAAAACCCACATATATTGAAAGCATACATGTTGTCAGCACTTGAAAAAAACGGAATTATAATAATTATTTTTACAATATTGTTTATTTTCTCGAAAATTCACTACTTTTCTTCATCATATTTTCAAAAAACTACAGATTTATAATACCTGTAATTCTTTTAGATTTGTTTCCCCTCTCTCTTTCATTAGTGAAAGACTTAAAAATCAGACCATCACTGTGCTCTAAAATATTGACATCATCACTGGCAAAATAAATAATGGGATCTCTGTATAAACTGATACTGTCATATCCCTATACTTATTGTTACATTTACCATTCCAGATTTATTCAAACAACTTTTGCACACTGCACCATTGCACCACTGTATTACTGTTAACACGTTGTGTTGTTCTTCTACTTATGTATTTATATTTATACATCCTAGTCAAATGTTGATGTTATCCTTTGTCCTTGCTTTAGCTGTATGACTATTTCTGTGAATGAACAATGAGAGAAACGAATAACAGGGGTCAGATTCTCTGGCCTGGATAATGAAGATAATATTGAATCTGATATCGACAAAAAAATGTTTGGCTATAGACTAATAACATTTTGTTTGGAGTCATTATAAAGCAAAGACACTTACTTATAGTTTTACACTTTCGACAATATTATTAGCTCTGTCGTTACTTTTTGTGGCCGCTAGAGGACACCAACATTTAAATGCAGTATGTCGCTCTCCATGGTGCTGAATGTATGGTCATACATCAACTGTCACCGATGCTGCCACAACTAGCATTAACATTACTGCTTCTATGCAAAAAACAGAGTGCACTTTAGGAAACATGCAGTACTTCCGGTACTCATATTCCCACCAATCTCCTAGAAACAGCCTGGAGCTCTTTAGCAACAAGCTAACAACCACCACCTGCAGAACACCCCAGCAACCACATCTCCCCAGCTGGACCTGGAAAAACCTCGAAGCCCTGCCAGACTATAAAATCCTTACAGAAAGAGTGAATATTGGGCTAGTTACACACTGAACTCACCCAGCTGAATGGGTTAACGTTCAACCCTAATTTACAGTCAGTTTGACTTAATGCTTTGGTCATTTTAACTCATATAAGTTATTTACTTTGTTGTTTAGTCAAATATGGTAAAAGTAACAATGAAAATAACATTTGTAAAACAATTTTTATTATATTTAGTCATGACTTGTATGTGTTTACATTTATATGTAAACCGACCACTGGTTGGATAATAAACACATAGGCCAAGAAAGCATTTGTGTATGCGATTCAAATTAAATTATTTCTAATTTTATTATATCATTTGTTTTCCAACAATTATTTGCCACAAGGGAGGGGCGCAGCGCTATTGCGCGTGAAGCTTGGGAAGAAGTTGTAAACAAACAATGTTTGCTAGTAAAATCAATAAAATTGACACATTTTTAACACAACCGGCAATTAAAAGAAAAGTGGACGAGCCCACGACAAGCCTTTCAGCTATAATGCCCAAATCAACAAAGTATGATGAGGAATACATCTCCCTTGACAACTAACGTGTTCCGTGCGGAGATCTCTCTTTCTCTCTCTCTCTCTCTCTCTCTCGTCTGTGTGGGGGGCGGGGCATCTCGCTCACAGACTCGCTGCAGCACCGTGCACACAGAGATCCGCCGGTGGACAACATAGCGTTAAAAAGTGACAATCTAATCTACAGAGCTCGATGTGGTCAATGCTCGTTTGCCATAAGTATTTTCGCGGAAACACGAGCAATCTGTCCATCAGCTAGCCAAAAGGCATCATATTCATATGATTATATTTCACATCATTAATCAAAATCTTTAAAGTAACTAAAGGTATTACATACATGTAGTGGAGTAAAAGTACACCATTTACCTCTGAACTGTAGAGGAGCAGAATTACAAAGAAGCAAAAGTGGAAATACTTAAGTACCTCAATATAAGTACAGTACTTGAGTAAATCTACTTACTACCACCACTGCAGGTATGTCATGTGTGCTAGCAGCCCATAATCCACACTATACATAAAATGAATCAATGTGAATTCTGTTTCTAATTTGTTTAGTTTTTCCCCTAGAAAATAACAAAAATAACCTATAAAAATAATGTTAAAATACCGGATCGATAAGCAGTATTTGTAATTGTTTCAATTAGGCCTCATTATTTCACAGTTGCACTGGATCATATGCCAATACAAGCACTTTTGTTCATGTTCAATCTATAATCAAATATAAAATTATATTTTGACCTTTTTGTCTTGTTATTATTAGCAGAGAAAATGTAATGTTTGTACCACCATACAATGAATTCTACCAATCTCGGTGGTAACCGGATTAGGGGGGGCTCGAAAATATTTCCAATTGCACAAAAAAGACTGAAAAAGGTTGAGAACCACTGCACTAAATGGTGCCTCGTCGTACCTCTACAAAAACTCTTACTTTAACGCGTAAATTCCACCAGTAGATGTCGCTCTCTACTATTAATTGGCCTTTAGATCAGCTGAGCACCTGACTCTTGACCCTTTTATTGCACTATAAGAAATGAAGCTGATGTTATGTTCATTTCGTTGCAAACCTTTCATCCAGCTCAAAGTCTGCAGTAAAGCTTCGTGTTAGATTGTATGTGACCACAGCACATTTAAAATGTTTTTGGTGCAATATATTTCAGAAAGCTAATTTAAAAAAAAAACGATCTTTCAATATTCAAAGGCTTTATTTTCATATGCACAGTAGCTACAGTGTAGTTATGGCAACGAAAATCTCAAGTCCCGAGCTCCTCCAACAATGCAATATAGTATATAGGACATTAAACAATAAGACAATAAAATGAAATTAAAGAAAATAGAATTGTGCAAAATGAAAACAGAGTAGAATGGAGTAGAATAAAATAGAGCAAATGTAATTTGGTGTTATAAACCTAAACCAGCTTATTAGCATGATCTAAATGGGATTTTCTTTTAAGATCTTTTAGAGAAACTGCAGAGGAAGTTTTACATAAATAAATACAATTATCTTGAATGCCATAACAAAACTGTCGCTCAAAGAGGACTTTAGTGCCCTCTTGTGGACTACTTACAATTATTTCAGGAAAGCCTTGAGAAAGTGCAATGGAGGAATAATCAATACAGATTAAACCTGTTTCTATGAATCATATCATGTGATTACAAATGCATCAGTAATGAAGGACACTAAAGGGAAATGTACATATGTTTTTATTTATATGGCAGAAGCTGTTTAATACATTTGTGGAAGATAATATATCAGCTTCATTATGTTGGTATTCATTACATCAATGTACAACATAAAGGACAAACACATAATTCATCTATAGTACAGCTTTTACATGGTTGCTCTTTGTCAAAGCAAAACGAATAACTAAATGTATTATTGATGATATTGTCATGTTACACAGAACTATACACACAAGCTGCTAAGATATAAATACTCAATTTCCACTGTCCATTATTGGCCAGTATTGTCAGCCATAATATTCTCAACAGTTGCTTACGTCATAAAAGTCACAACTAAAGCTGGTAATATTTGTAATCAATTAAGATATTAGAAGTGCATAACAAGTGATGCTATGTTGTTAGGAAGACAAGGTCATACTAATCATTTTTATAAGCATTGACAAGCATATATAACTCCTTACATGTCAGAGTCGATTCTGTGTTATATTGATGAGTCTGCATTACATTTTTGAAAGTAATTGTAATGGTAAATGCAATACAGTATCAGACTCCTATAGCAATAAAACAAGCTTGTTATTAAATAATGGACACATTTGGTGTTGTGTATGCCTGTGCACAGTGCACCTAAAGTTGCTACACACAACAGTTCCTGCTACATCTCATGGTGGTTTCAAATTCCAGCTCACTTCACTTGTCACCGTCCTGCGTGTGTTTGATCTGAACAGGTATGACAATCTCATTGGCTGGATTGCTGACGGATGTCCCGGGGGCCGGGGCCTCTATGGACAGGACTCCATCACCTGACAGAGAAGAAGTGATGTGCTGCAAGTCCACCCCCTGTGGCAACCTTTCAAGAAACAAAGAGTGAGTGTATGTTTAAGTCTTCTAAACTTTTCACAAATTGTTTGCATTACCAAGACTGTTAATACAATAGGCCTACACAGCAATTATAAAGAATCACACAGAAATGTTTTTCTCTCAGACAACGTACTTGTATTTCCGGGTGAAGCACCTTGAAACAGATCCATGATCATCCTGCTTTTCTTCATGATTTCCTTGTAATGACAAATAATTGATTATAGGAAACAATTGAATCCAGGTCCATGTATGTAGTGGATGGAAAACCTTCTTTTGATGCTTTCACTTAAGTTTAATCACATCATATAAATAGCTTGTGGGAAGTCATAGAATCATGAGCAGAGTACCTGATATTTGCAAATATCCCTCCTTGGTTGTGATTGTAATCTCCTCTGGCGAGAAGTGATTGACGTCCAGGTTAATCTTCCAGCTGTCCTGCCCTGTCCGGATCTCTGTCACCCCACTTGTCAGCTGTTTTGAAGCCTTTGGGTTCAACGCTGCAGGGTGCTGACCACTGAATGGAGGCAGAAGGGGATTTTGTGCATACCCCGGCCAGGAGAAAGAAGCCAGTCTCTTCTTTGACCAGTTGATCCAGTCTATATCGCTGGGGTCCAGGAAAGGTGGGAGGCCAAAATCCTGCGCAAAGATTCGGCTTGGCTGCGTCCAGTTTGGGAAGGGTTCCCAGTTTACATCTCTGCGGAAAATGGGACGGGTTAATGCTTTATCTGGTTCCCCCATATCCAAAAAATAAGCTCAGAATGAAGGGAAAGGATGTTGAAAGTGCAAAAATGTGTAGTTCTACCCTAACAAACAAGTCCAGATTGATGACCTGGGCACTATACAATAGGCTGCTGTGTTTTCATTCTCAACAGAAAGTGAGCAGCAGGACTGAAGGAAAGGCTGCTCTAGCATCTGTAATGCTCTACTCACACACATTTATACCCCACTGATTCATTCTAGCACTTGTCCAGCATTAAGTGTGATCTAATTGATGAGAATGACTTGGTATGTCATGGGCCGGGGCGTTACTCTGCCGTTGCCCCGGGACTAGGAACGGATAATGCTAACTATTTTGTATTTATATCTCTGGAGAGTCAGTGTCAAGTTGTTGGAGAATGACTGTGGAAGCAGTGAGCAGCCAGTTTATTCAGCGGTGGAATCTGCAGTCTTGTCACATACTGGTGCTCTTTGTCCAAAGAAATCACGGCCTTGTGTTATGTGAGGGAACAGCACGAACATTCAGAGTCACACGGTAAACAACTTCCAGCTAGACAACACAAGATTGGAGAAAAACACACAGTGTCATGTGATGAGCATTTAGGGCAAATTACAATGTTGTCTTGAAGACTTGTTTACATACTGGACAAAGTGATGGACTGAGGCAGTGACGCAGTCGAGTGCTGGTGAGGAATCTAACATGTAGAGCTATGGCTTCATGGGTCAAATAAATAAAGCCTTTTGCCAACAGAGTGGATCCACATTTAATAATGAGGCAATTTCTGTAGCCTTTCCATCTTCACCGCCAAAAGCATTAGTCCAACTATATATTAAGCATACATGGTAGAAATACAATGTCACCGAGTAGCTCTAGTAACTAAACTCATAGTGATTGGAGTGACACTATGATGACGAAACTATTGTTTGCAACACCATCTTGGATTGTGTCATTTATTTAAATTGCCAACACGTAATTAGCTACAACATACATAGATACAACACATAAGTACATTTGCTCAAGTACCGTACTTAAGGACTATTTTGATTTAATTTACTTGAGTTTTTCCATTTTATTATCCTTTATACTTTTAATCCACTTCACTTCGGATGCAAATATGTTTTTTTACATGTATATAACACTCATTGTTACTAGTTGCTTTTTATATATAAAAACACATGATATGCTAATATTATATAAGGCAGTACTTTACCATCAATTGTATTTTAAAGTATTTTAAATCTCTTAAACTGTCTCCACATTGACAAACTACAAAATTAAAATGCTGGTACGCATGATAAAAACAGGATAATACAGTATTCTTTAATAATAACATGCTTTTATTCTGCATACTGGTTACTTTTAGCTGATTATACTTCTGCTCTCTACTTTTTGATACTAATACTTTTTAAAATTCTGGATTCAGGTTGTTGACTTGTGATGGAGTTTTTTTAACACCATAGTATTTCTCTTTTACTGAGGTAGAGTGTGGGGGAAACTTCTGTAGCAATTGGAAACAGGACTCAGAGAGACACGAGGAGAGCTGGAGCTTTGATGGCAAACACTGACGGTTTATTTGGAGTTACGGCCAGAGAATTCACAAGACATGTCACGGGCCACGAGTTGACCACACGGTTGAGATGCCACAATCAATTCTGAAGAACTCTACCCCAGACCCATGTATTTAGCTAGTTCAGAGAGAATAATCAACATTGTGCATAACAAGATAAAACCATAACACCTCTATCAGCTGACGCCAACAGGCAGGAGCAGGGAGGCAAAACACTGAGAGCACAGCAGCCAAGGTTACAGGTGTGTGTGCTCAGTCAGGACAGTTTGAACTGATAAACTGGGTCAAAGTTAGGGGCCTTGGAAAATATTTCCCCAACATAGAGGATCCGAGTACTTTATCCATCTCTGGTTAATGATGCAATCTCATCTTGGTTTATTAGCAGTGGGCAATATATTTGTATTTTTACTTAGAGACAAATATGAGTTGTGGTGTATTGCAGTGACAACACACTTGTAAACGCACGTAAAATACTGTATGTGTTACCTTTACAAGCACTTTTGCCAAGAAATGTCGCGCCACAGATTGTGTAAAACCTGTGTTTATAGATGAAGTTACTAAATGCGATTTAAATGGTTATATTTCACACAAGTTAGAAAGAAATTCTTAAATAAAACATAGTGCTAGATGAAGATACACATTACATTGTGTTGGAAAAACGTTATTATCCCTGAATTTGTACATAGCAAACTGTATAACAATATTCATCGGCATTCAATAACAGTACACAAACATTAAGTGCACAGTGAGGAGTTTGGCAGTAAATATAAATGTGATCCAAAAGATGAACAAATATTTTTTTCAGAAGTCAAAACACTGCCAACGCTTTTTGACATCAACAATAATGGAGTGTTTGGACAGTAGTAGGTGTGTTTGACCTTTGACGAGAGTTAAATCAACTATATTTATCTCTTTGAACATTAGTGCAGTAGGTCATTGATTTTGATCATAGATCATCCAACCTGACGACTGACTGTGAAATACATGAACCCACTAACCTTCAATAACAAATGTGTTCACATTACAATAAATGAAAGGCATAGTTTTAAAACCCAGAATGCTTTGTGGTTATGGTGGGTGTGTGCTCAAAGGTGAAGGCAGGTTAAGATATAGTAGAAGATAAAGTATGTAGCTACTCTTTAACCGTGCATTGACCCTTGATCTTAATGGTATAATTTAGTTTTGCATCATTGCTCTGTTTTGCAATGTATATCACTAAATTAAGATATTATTTGTGCGTTTTACATTACATTACATTACATTACATTGCATTTAGCTGACGCTTTTATCCAAAGCGACTTACAATAAGTCATTTTATTGCTCGAAGTGGAGTCGAAAGAGATGAGTTTTCAGTCTGTGCCGGAAGATGTGAATGCTATCTGCTGTCCTGATGTCAATGGGGAGCTCATTCCACCATTTTGGAGCCAGGATAGCAAACTGACGTTTTTTTGCTGATGGGAACTTGGGTCCCCCTCGCAGTGCGGGTGCAGCGAGACGTTTGGCTGATGCAGAGCGGAGTGCGTTCTTATCTTCTGTCAGCATGGATTTATGCATGCACTAATTTTCAAGTTAAACTACTTTTACTAGATGAGGAGTTGTGATTAGAAAGCCTCAGTTGTTCCAGCTTCTTCTTCTGCATCTCTTCTGAAATGAAGAATAAAAACAGTGACATCAGAGAAAATGTATTTTTATTCTGTAGCAGAAAACTACCCAAAAAATCGTTATGTTACAGATCTTCAAAACGTCGACTGAAGATATGACTCACCTTTTCTGTTTCTGTTTCTGTTTCCTGGAGAGAAGAACGATGGTGGTAATCATTAGAATCAGCGCTGCAGCTCCAATGACTGAACCGGCCACAATTCCTGGAATATTATCTGAAAATAATGTTTTTTTAAACCAGAGACTCCAGCACAATAAGTCTTAACATACGTTTGTTTGATTTGATTATTTTTCTTTCCTTTTTTGGTACCTTAGCTGATACTTAACTCCATAGATTCAGGAAGGAAAGAAGAGTACATGCAACAAGGATTTAGATTTGTTCAGCATAGCATTTGAGAGCATGTACTGTATTTGTTTGAAAAGAGAGAAACCAGGCAGGGAAAAGTTAATCAGTGACCTTTGTGATCATGCTACAATTGACCTCCACCTTATGCAGATATCTTAGTTCATTTCTATTGAGAATGAAGGCATTGTTCTAGATATCTCAATGTTGGTCGATTGGTTAAACACTTAAAAACCTGGGGCAGACAGACAATCAGTGTCATCAATCAAATCCAAATCACTTTGTCTATTTTCTGACTTTTTAGCTACACAACACTTGTAGTGTATAATGAATACCTGTTGTCATGTTTGACATTCTTATCAACTAGTCAGAAAGCTTTCTATGTGGAAAAGTAATTGTCACATTGGGCCCACAGCTAAGGGCAATGCCCATAGAAGCAAGGTGATTGAATAAATAATTTCAGAATTGTAGGCATAAGACAGGCCTTGACTGTGTGAAAGGCCTCCTCATACTGACATTGAGACTCAATACAAATATAGTAGCTCGGATACAAAATCATTTGCTCCAAAATGTTTTGAAAGTGATTTAATTGTTTGTGTATTCCAACACTTTAGAGCTGATTCGTTTGATGAAAGAATGCACTCACACACATGCATGGCACACACATTGGCCACTGCTGATTTGTGAAGATAAAATCATTGGAAATGATGACATTTATTCATACTGGGAACCACGCATTTTGTGTCTCCTCCAGACCACACGCCGTCCCACTGGCATACGTGCATCGATGGTCCTGTGAGAGTGAAGCCTTCGTTGCAGGAAAGGTTCACCTTAGCCCCCTGTAGATATGTGGTCCCCTCCTTCTTTCCATTACTTGGTGGTGAAAACCATCCACAGGATATCACTGCAAAGCACAACAATAACTCATACAGTGAAATCAAGTCACAGCAACCACTCATTCATCACATATATGTTTATACACTCACCTGGCTTTAGATCTTCTTCAAGAGAAATGTGACTTTGGAAAGATATTTTTGAAGCGTTTCCCATTCTGGGACTACGACCCACCAGGATATCGTACCTACAGGACATAGGTAGTGATCATACAATTAAAATATAGTGGAAAATAAAATCATAAGAAGTGGATATATCATTACTTTATGTCTTTTGGAGAGATTTCTTGCCTGGCCAATTTCCATCTTATTCAAACTAATACCTTTAGTTTATCACAAGGACATCATCAGGGTTATTTGTTAAGACTTAATTTGAGAAAGCTAATGTAAGACCCACCTAAGACATAATTTCAACTTCTTTCACAGGCTAAACTGTACTCTTTAAGACAAGTAAACTGAACTTCATGTGTACAAGTGTAAAAGCATGGTCTTATTTTTACTGAGATGGCTAACATTAGTTTTTTAACAAAAAGGACACATTTTTGAGTGATTAATAATATTTAGATAAAGAACATTTTTGTCTCGTACCTGCAGAACTGAGAGCCCGGTCCAGAGCATATCTCAGACGTCTGATTAGCTAATGGGTCATTAGGATTCTCCGGGATAGAAAACACTGGAAGAAAACTTGCGTCATGTCTGGGAGCATACAAAAATGTGTCAAAAAGATATTCTGAATCATATGTGAACAATGCAGACTGGTTGGAGATGGC